GAGGGGCAGAGAGAGGGGAGACCGAGGGGCAGAGAGGGGAGACAGAGGGGCAGAGAGAGGGGAGACCGAGGGGCAGAGAGAGAGGGGAGACCGAGGAGCAGAGAGAGGGGAGACTGAGGGGCAGAGAGGAGGGAGAAGAAGGTGAAGGGAGAATGGGAGACTGAAGGGCACTTCTTGGCGTTTTTTAAGTGTGAAGGGAAGTAACTGTGTGAGTACTGATTAGAGTGTTGTCCCCACTGGGCACGGAACTCTGGGAGGCTGGGGGCCGAGTCTGTCTTGGTCACTGCTGGGTCCCCAGTGCAAGGATTACAGGCCCCTGGGTGATCCCACGGGAACCTCACCTCATGGTAGGGGTGGTCCTGGGGGTCGGGGGCCCCCTCTCCAGGCTCAGGTGGCTGTGGACAGGGCTGTGTGCAGAAGGAATGTCCGGGCTCAGGGCTGGGTCATTTAGAGAGAAGAGAGAGACGGCTCTTTGCACTGCCGGGGAGAGAGAGGACAGGACTGAGTCCTCGTGGGTGCAGAGGTCAGGGCACCAGGTCCTCCCAGCCACCCCCACAACGGACGGACCACACGTCTCCCCCGAGCCGTCCACCCAAGTCCCCACGACACTTTCAATCACACATCTGTCAGGTCACACCGACACTTAGGACGGGTTCTTGCCAAACAAACCAAACAACCATGAAAACCCAGCCTGCTTCTGATCAAGCCTCTGGATCCCGTGACCCGTTTCCACAAAACACAAGGGAGGGAGAAAGACACACGCCACGCCACCGGGGGAGGAAGCCACCAGCCAGATGCAGACCGTGGCACAGCCCCGCGTCAGCGAGCTGGTTTCGTGTCAAAGACAGTGAAACCTGTAAGAGCTGGAACTTGATGGGCCTGCCTTGTGTTTCCGGGTCTCGCAAGCTGTCCACCTCTGACAGGGTGCAGTCTTGCCACTTTCCTATCGCTGTCTATCAGGGGGGAAGTACTTTGAGTTTTCCTTCTCTGACAGGTTTCTGCCTTACACAGGTTTTACTGTAAACAGTAGGAGCAACAGCAAAAGGCCCAAAGCAGATGGAGCTGAAGCGGGGTGACAGGTACATGGGGATTCATTAGGCCGTTTATTTTTGAGTATGTTCATACATTTTCAGAAAAAGAAAAAAAAAAAAAAAGAAGAAAGGGAGAAAGAATATCATACATATTGAAGAGAAGCAAAAAATCACCGAGGTTGCTGTTACGGTGGGGATTCCTAGGTCCCACCACAGCCCTGCCACTGGCTCTGGGGGTGGGGCCCGATGCTGTGTGTTTTAAACGTGACCGTCAGGTTCTGGCAAAGAGCTGGTGACAGCTTCACGCCCTCAATCACGGCTGGTTCCGTAGGCCACGGGGCACCCAGGCATTGGAATAGGTGGCGGCCACTGAAACGAGGCTCGAATGAGCCCTGTGGGGAGGCCCAGGGGGCGGTAACCCGGGAGGGACAGGGCGCCCTTACTGGCGGGGCCACACAGCGCAGGTGGGCCCCTGGGCGACGTTTTACGTTTTCCTGCTTAAATGGCAGCACAGTAAAAACTCAACACCCTTCCCCCAGATCCGCCAATTGTTAACATTTCGCCACATACGCATCCTCTCTCTGTATTTTCCCCAAGTCATCTGAAAGTAAACTTACCTCTTTACCTCAACATACCTCACTGCACAACTCCAAAAACTAAGGACACTCTCCTATGTAATCGCAATACCATTATCATATTCAAGAAGGGCCCTGGTGGCGCGGTGGTGAAGCGTTTGCCCGCTAACCAAAATGACGGCAGTTCGTATCCACTAGCCGCTCCTTGGAAACCCCGTGGGGTGGTTCTATTCTGTCCTATAGGGTCGCTATGCGTTGGAATTGACTCCATGGCAATAGGGTGTTTTTTTTTTTAATCACTGAATACACGGTCATCTTCAAATTCCCCAATTCTCTGAAGAACAGTCTTTATAGTTTTTAAATTTTATTTTGGATTTAATATTTATTCTCTAAAAATGTTTAAAATGTTTTAATTTGAACAATGTGAAACATATTCAAAAGTAGAGAAAAGAGTGTTATGCATCCTCATGAACCCACCTGTCACCAGCTTCCCTAATTATCAATATGCGGCGCTCTGGTTTTCTCCCCTGCACCCTCCCTGCCCTTTTATTTCTGTTGTTATTCTCTCCCTCAATCCCCTTTCACTTTTTAGAAACGGCTCACTGAGGTATAACTGGCACCCAGCAGACTCATCAAAGGGTACAACTTGGTAAGTCCTGACATGTGTACAAACCCGTGCGACCACCACCACAGATCAAGAAAGTAAACACATCTACCATCCCCAAAGGCCTCCTTGTGACCCTTTGTAATCCTCCCTCTCACCCCCTTACTTTTTTTAAACATTTTACTTTGAAATAATTTTAGATTTATAGAAGAGTTGCAAGGATCATTAGAGAATTCCCATATCCTCCTCACCTAGCTTCCGCCAATGTTAACATCTTACAGAACCATGGCGCAACAGTCAAAGCTGAGACTCTAACACGGGCACAAAACTATAAACTACAGACATTATGGAGCCCTGGCGGCGCAGTGGTTAAGAGCTTGGCTGCTAACCAAAACGTCGGCAGTTCGAATCCACCAGCTGCTCCCTGGAAACCCTATGGGGCAGTTCTACTCTGTCCTGTAGGGTCGCTATGAGTCGGAATCGACTTGACGGCAATGGGTTTGTTTGTTCGTTGTTCATAGACATTACAGGGATTTTCCAGTGTTCCCACTCATGTCCCTCCTCTGTCGCAGGATCTCATCTAAGACCCCAAGTGTGTTAGCTGTCATGTCCCTGTAGGCTCTTCTGAGCTGTGACAGCTTCTCAGTTTCTCCTTGTACTTCATGACCTTAGCACTTTGGAAGCGTACGTCAAAATAAACCATCGAATAAACAAAACCAACAAAACCTCATCCCAATTCTGCCACCAAATACCAAAAAAGGTATTCTGCAGAACAGCTCTCATCTGGATTTGCCTGATGTTTTCATGGGTTTGGGGGAAGAGAGCCGGTGAGGCCGTGGATCCGCTCAGAGCACGTGTCTTACCCCGGGAACGCGAGCCTTGATCATTGGATAAGGCGGTGTCAGCTGGCTTTCTCCACTGTCAAGTTACTATTTTCCCTTTCAGTGCTCCATCTGTTAGAAGTCAGTCACTAAGGCCAGCCTGCCCTCAAACCAAAAAAACCAAACCCATTGCTGACCAGCTGATTCCGACTCAGAGCGCCCCTAAAGGACAGAGTACAACTGCCCTGTAGGGTTTCCAAGGAGCGGCTGGTGGATTCCAGCTGCCGATCTTTTGGTTAGCAGCCGAGCTCTTAACCACTGTGAGAGGGAAATTAAACTCTACCTCCTGGAGGGACAAGGAGCTAAGAATCTGTGGATCATTACAATCATTAATAAGTATTTGGGGGCAGATAGTTGGAGGCTATGTTCCTGTTTCTGCTTAGAGCTTCCCTACAATGTTTGCATTCACCAGAGGATCCTGCCTGCAACAATTAATACTGTGTTGTTCTAGGGATGGGTTTCTGTTTCCCTCATTCCTTCTGGATTTATTAACTGGGATTCTTCATAAGGAAGAGTTGTTGCATCTCCACATCTTATTTATTTAGATATTTACTTACATCGGTATGGCCTCGGGGGTTTATCTGACTCTTCAGGTTATACTCTAATACTACCACTATTTTATTTTGTTGCTCAAATTGTTCCAGCTTTGGCCATTGGGAGCACTCCTGTCCCATCTTTTTTCTGAGCACTTCCTTACTTCCTGGTATCACAAGATGTGCTCCCCATAACTTTTTACCAGCCCCACCCCTCCTCAAGTCTGGGATATTTTCACACAAATGTAAATACTTCACTGCATATCTCTGGCAGATTATGGCTTTATTTTTCTAACAAAACTACTATGATGTGGAGCCCTGGTGGTGCAGTGGTTAAAAGCTTGTTTGCTAAGCAAAAGGTTGGCAGTTCGAATCCACCACATATCATGATTCCCACCAACAGATGAGGAAACAGGCTCAGTGCACAGAGTCGCCAAGGGTGTGTACTTTTTAAATTTGGTGCCAAATATTGCACGACTGACTCCCACTGGGACTAGCAGCCAACTTACACTGCCACTTGCAATGTCTGGGGGGCCTCTTTCCCCTGGCCACCCTCAGTGTGATCAGACTCCACCCTTGTAGTTCCAAGAGGTGAAGCAATATGTTCAAAAGCGTGCAAGCCATCTGAGTCCCTTTTTCCGTCACCTGTTTCCTGTGCCCAGTTCTCTGGAGGGCTGTTCAGGCCCAGGTTTGCATGCCAGCCCTGTGTGCTGCTGGTCAGGCGACTCTGCACGGGGCCTGTCTCCTTAGCTGGTAGGGAGTCATGGTACTTGCCTAGAGTAGGGATCAGTAGGGCTGACGCTGATGGAGTGCTAAGTGCTGGCCCGGAGAAGATGCTCAGTAATGTCAGCTCTAAGTGGATCGTGGCTGGAGAGTCACCGCCTCCAGGAAGTGCTGCTAAGCAACGCTCTTCCATGCTGAGCTCCTAAGGCTTCTGCAGGGTCAACTTTATCCGCACTGTTGAGCCACTGCCTGACCCACGCTCCAAATGGTTCCAGTGTGTGTGGCTATGCAGCAGATCAGAGGCTGAGCCTGGCCTTCTCGGACCACTTTGCCCCCCATCCTGTGCCCTCAAGAGGCCTGACCGCCTTCCTTCTGTGGCTGGGGTGGCTGCAGGACAGGGTTCAGAATGGAAGCAAATGAGGGAAGAAGCTTCCTTCCAGGCCACCTGCCAGATGCAGACTGGCTAAAACTTGGAGATATGAAGGATGTGTGCCACGTGGGCTGGTTTAGTGCTGCCTGCTCTGTCAGGCCCTGTGCAGGGCACCCAGTCGTAACTGAGACAGCCCAGGGTCCTGCCCTCCTGGTCCTTGAGAAGACATCAGTGGACAGCGACAGGGCTAGGTGACAGGGCCAGGACGGAGGAGGCACAGGCAGAGGGGTCAGTGATGTGGGAGCCCAGAGCAGGTGCCTGACCCAGACGGAGGAATATCAGGGAGGGCTTCCTGGAGGAGGAACAGCCAAGCTGTGGCTGGAAACAGAAGCCACAAGAATATGCTCGTATCTGTCAGGGATCGTTGTTGAGTACCATTTTACAGATGAGACACAGGCTTAGAAAGGTAAAGCCACCTGCCCATGTTATATGGTGAGTCAAATGGCAGACTGCTATCTTCCTGATCCGTTTCTCTGAATAACAGACCCCCAAATCTTGGTGGGGCACATGGCCTCATTTCCCAGCCTCCTCTGCAGCTAGGTGTGGCCACGTGGTGAGGCTCTGGCCAATGGGAAGTAAGTGCAGCTACGTTTGGCCACCTGGTGAGGCTCTGGCCAAGGGGAGGGTGGAGCAGGGGTATGAGGCTTTGGGATGTGGCCTCCCCTCTCCTGCTGGCTGGAGCTGACAGATGGCCGTCCTGGGGGGTGGGATGAGCCCCAGGACATGGCCGAGCAGAGAGCTGGAAGGAGCCTGGACCTGGCTGAACCTGGGCTGCCGCACCAGCCCCCGACGGCCCACCCCAACACTTTTCATCTGCACAAAGCCTTGTGTGTTTAAGGGATTGTTAATTTGGGCTTTCTGCTGCATGCAGCCAAAGAAAATCTGAATAAACGCGATTTTATACTGTCATAAGAGCACCAGGTACCAAGTGTGGAGGGCTTGTTCTGTGCCCGACAGGGTTTACACATGATGCTTCTCCTCACTCTTGCTGCAGCCCCATGCACTGGGCACAGTCACTGTCCCTGTCCTGTAGATGAGGTAACTGGGGATCAGGGCTGCACAGGGACCAAGTGACTCAAACCCTGCTCCGCCAGTTCTGGAACCCGAGTGTGTCTCCTTTCAAAGCCACAAGGGCCTCCCTAGATTCTTCTAGAAGCGAGAAGGGGTGGGGATCTGGCGGGTGGAAGGTGCCTACCTTCGTATGCCTTGGCTGCATTGACCAGGCTGGACCACTCGAGGCCAGCAGCCGTGTCGGGCAGCGGCATCATCCCGGGGTCGAGGCGCCGCAGGGGCCGGTCCCGCCCTTTGGCCAGGGACAGCTCTGAGGCTGAGATGGTGGCTGGGTGAGAGATGGGAGACAGGAAGAAGGTTGAGAATGAACAAATTATATTGTTTGTCAGAAGACGGTTAGTGCCAGGGGAACACACGGCAGGCTAAGGGGGTGGGGTGTCAGATGTTTGTGTGTGCACAATTTTAACAGGGTGCTAGGGAAGGCCTCCCAAGAACAGGATGTTTGAACAAAGCTCTGGAGGGGAGGAGGGGAACTTTGCATTTCTAACAAGTTCCTGGGTGATGCTAATGCTTCTGGTTAGGGATCAATACTGAGAACCACCAGAACAGCGGTTCTCAAAATTTATTATACATAAGAATCACCTGGGGATCTTGTTGAAATGTAGAGTTTGGATTCAGTATATCTGGGATGGAAATGCAAATTCTCAGCAGGGGTTTGAACCAGAACGAACCAGTTCCAAGGCCTGCACCTCACACCTCTGGACAGCCAGGAAGGGGGCACTGTTATGATCCCCATGTTGTGGAGGAGGAGAACTGAGCCTTAGCGAGAGAAGCTGCCCTCCGGAGTTCACACCTGCAGTGGTGCGAGGATCGGAACGCGGTGGTCGGACGCTGCTGCCCCTGCTCTGAGCCCAAGCCCACACTGAGGTCACTGCTAACACAGTTCAACTCCTCCTCTCTAGGCCACAGGTGCCACCTGACTCACGGTGGGGAAAACGCTCACTCCGGATGACAGAGAGAATACTAACAACAGGAGAAACAACAGCTCAATGCTCAGGGGCCACGGAGCTCCTGGTAAGGGTGAGGGGAAAATACGGGAACACGCAGGGGGACGGCCGGACGACATGATGCACATACTCAATGCCACTGAACTGTACACGTGAAGAAAGCCGAAACGGCCAACGTTTGATTGCACGCACACACACACACACGCATAGACATGTATACGGCTATATGCAGCCCTGGTGGCGCAGTGGTTAAGAGCTCGGCTGCTCACCAACAGGTCGGCAGTTCAAACCCACCAGGTGCTCCTTGGAAACCCTATGGGGCAGTTCTACTCTGTCCTATAGGGTCGCTATGAGTTGGAATCGATTCAGTGGCAATGGGTTTATACACACACACACCCCACAATTAAAAATACGGAATAATCGGGTAAAAATAATAATAGCTAGAATTGTTTGAGGACTTCCTAGGTAACAGGCACTGTGCTCAGCATTTTCTATACATTAACTTGTTTCTCGCACTAACCCAAGGAGGCAGGTGCTATTTTTGCCCCCATTTTACAGTCTAAGAAACTGCTGCCCAGGGTCACCTCTCTGTGAGGGAGGGTCTGGGACAGACACAAGCTTAGGCTGTCCTGCTCTCGGGACCTGTGAACGGGCCTGCGCGGTGCTCAGTGGGTACGTGCTGAGCGAATGAATGAGCGAGGGCAGGAGGATGCCGGGCCCTTCCCTTCGCTCCGTGCTCTGCGTCTCCCTGTTCAGTGGGGGTGGGGGCTCTGGGAGCAGCTGCCGCTGCCAACACGGAATCAGCGGGCACCTCTGTGAGAGGCTCCTCGGCATGGAGGGCCCTTCATCAGTGGAGGCCCCAGGCCCTTCAGCCTGGACGTGGAGGGCTCTCGAGCAGGCTGGGTGAGGTGAAGAGGCTGGGGGTCCTGGCCATGCTGGGGCCAAGTGGGACTCTCCCTGGCTCAGGAGGGTGGGGAGTCAGACGGGCAAAGAGGGGCGGGTGTGTGTGTGTGTGCGTGCGTGTGTGTGTGTGTGCGTGCTCTGGGAGACAGAGGGCCCTGAGTGGGGTCACGGCAGAGGTCAAGACAACCCCAAGACCTGCCCTTATGGAGCCCCCAGTCGAGCAGGAGACAGACCCATGCCCAAATAGTGACAGGCCAGGGTGAACAGGGCTGTGACGGGGGAGACATGAGGCAGTGATCAGGGACGGCATGGGGGAATCCCCGGGGGCTGTGGGGGCCCAGAGGGAGGGCTCCCCGAAGGAGGGATGTCTGAGTCGAGACTGGAAGGATGAGGCAGAGCATCTCCCTGCACACCGACCTCTCTGCCTCATCATCTCTCTCACCCTCTTACTCACTGTGCGCCAAATGCCTACTGTGTGCCAGGCCCCGCCGTGGGCACAGATAGAGCAGTAAAGGTGAGAGGCAGGGTCCCAGCCTTCTGTCCAAGGGAAAGAGACACGCAGCAAAGCTTTGCAAGCACCAGTAGTTCTCTCTCTTGCTCACGGCCGTTTCCCCAGGGCCTAGAGCAGAGCCTGGAACACAGCAGGTACTCAGGAAGCATTTGTGGATCGACCACCTGGGAGGGCTAGGTTGCTCTGGAATTGAAAGACGGGATATGACCCAGCCTAGGGGTTGAGGGCGACCTCTGGGGAAGAGCAGGAACTGAGCCCAGGCCTGAAGGAGAAGGGAGAGTTACTCAGCAGTGGGCAAAGGAGACAGAGCGCCCAGGGAGGACGAGCCTGGCTTACTGAGGGAGCTGCAGGGTATCACGAGGGGAGGGCTGAGGGGGAGTCCAGCAGCAGGAGACCCCAAAACACCAGGGGAAGGAGTGTGGAGGCAGACACAGGGCAGCAGGAGCCATGGAGGAATTTTAAGGGGAGGAGATGGACCCCTCAAAAATGCCTGAGTCTCCTCCATCCCATCCCCTGTGGTGCACAAGAGGCCCTGTCTGGATAACACAGGGGCATGATCGCTCAGCGGGAGCCCTTGGGGTAGACATGTGTCAGAATTCCAGATCCATCTGGATTTGGGAAAGGAAGATGTGCGTGTGCTGTCTGTCACACGGGACACTCACAAGGTCAGGCTGCGCCCTAACCAACGCGTTGGTGTGTCCATCTATGCCCAGCGTGTACCTGAGGACCACATGCCTCACATCTGCTCAGGGTGCGCTCTGCTGCCCAGTGAGCTTGGCCCAAACGTACCAACCACCTTTTGGTTTCCAGCCTCTGAGGCTGTCCGGCGGCCCCCATGCCCAGGCGACCACACTTCCCGGTCCTGGGCACCTCCCGCCCCAGCTCCCGGGTGCCCGAGCTCACATTCCTTCTCCGGGAAGCCGTTGCTGGCGGCAGTGCTGCTGCTGGGGCCGCCGTCGGGCGGGTGGGGGTGCTGGTGCTGGCGGCGGGCAGGCAGCGTGCTGGAGGGGAAGGCGCAGGTGCTGGTGAAGAGCACGTCGCTGGGCAGGCCGGGCTCCAGGCCGGCGGGGCTGGCAAAGCTGGGCTCCCGGCGCCCGCTGCACAGGCTCTCGTCTGACAGCGTCCGCTGCAGACTCTTCTGTGGGGACTGTACCGGGACAGAGCGAGGCGGGGCACGGTCACAGCCCGCCCACGCTCGCCGTCCTCAGGGGTTCTTCCTGTCGGGGCGGCTGTGGTTGCTAGCCACTCTGCAGCCACTTCTGCCCCTTGTATGGTCAAAGCACCCCAACAATCCCCTGGGGGATCCCTGACCTCAGCCGACCTCCAGGTCCAGGGGAGAGACTGAGGCCTGTCCTGAGAGACTGTTAGGGGAGAGTGTGGCCTGAGCTGGGTCAGTGAGATCCAGAGCTGGGACTCTGGGGGGCACCAGTGGGGACGAAGTGCTGGTGGGACGGATCCCTGAGACACTGGGACACCTCTATCCCCACAGACAGCATGCCTAAGTGGGGCCAGCCAGGGGCAAGTGGGATGAGAGATGCAGAGCGGTGGGCAGTGGGGCAGGAACACGGACGGCTACCGCTTTCACCTCGCCTTCCTTGGGCAACGAGAGCCCGCATTTCCCCTGGGGGCCTGTCCTCCACTTAATGTCCACAGGGTTCTGGCCGGTGGGGCTGCTTCCACGCACCCCTGGTCTCCAGGAGCGGATATGGGGCCCAGATCCGGCTAATACGATCCCTTCCCAGTCACATGAGGTACCCTATTATGTAATAAAGCCCTCACTTTCTTGCCTAGGCTAAATCGCGATTCCGGCCCTGACTAACATGGTACCCTTACTCCTGGCCGCGTTTCCACAGACACTCAGCCGTGGCTGGTGGGTGCCGAAGGCTGGGGGAAAAGGCCAGGAAGAGGCTGCAGTGACTGCAGGGAGCCCTGCCCCCCTCCCCTGCCCTCCTGGGGGCCCCGTGGCCCGTCTGAGTCTGCCGGGAGTGGAGGGTAGGGCGGCTGCTACGTACTCCGGGGTCCCTCTCCTGCTCTGGCCCCAGGCTGTCCATGATGATGAGCTTCTTGAGGTCATCCTCAATGGTGGATTTGTAGTTCTTGCGCGGGGAGCGGAGGTCTCGGAGAGACGCCCTCAACCGCGGCTGCCCAAAGACGTTCTTCGTGTTGGTGTCCACCTGCCTGGAATGAGAGGGCCGGAGGTCAGAGGGGTATAGGGAGCCTCCTCACCCAAGGAGGTCCACCGCCACTGGGTGAACGACCACACCTTCTATGCGTCACCTGGCGAACGCCGTGACAGCCGAGGGGCTTTGTTTATTCTTTCCACTCACTCATTCCACCAGTATCTACTGGGAACCTACCCTGTGCCACGCCTGTTCCAGGCCCTGCGGACAGCAGTGAACACTCTCGCAGGGAGGAGCAGTGGCCGAGTGAACGGAAAGACAGACTGCATGATGCGAGGCAGAAAGAAGTGTTGTGAAGAAAAATAAAGCCGGGGAAGGGACAGAGACCCGCAGGGCTCAGGGGCGGCTTCTCTGAGGTGCCGTCTGAGCAGAAAGCCAGGCAAGAGGAGGAGGGAGGAACACTCCAGGCAGAGAGAGCACGTGGAGGCCGTGAGGTGGGCACAAGCCTGTGAGTGTGAGGAGCGGGTGGTGGGCACGGAGGCCTGGGGGGCCACAGGCAGGTTACGTGGAAACTCGTGGGCTGTGTGGTCGTGTCTGGAGTGAGGGAGCCTCTGAGGGCCCTGAGCTGGAGAGCACTGGGCCCTGATTTGTATTTTAGAAGGGCCACTCTGATTGCTGGGCAGAAAATCGATGCCTGGGGGCTGGGGAAGCAAGGGTGGAAGCAGGGAGACCCACAGAGACCGTGAGGAAGCCCCTGCAGTTGTTCAGGCCAGGTGAGGGCGGCCTGGACCAGTGGGCTTCTGGCCACAGAAGACGGATGGGATCTCCTGAGTGCCAGTCATGCAGAGTGGCAAGTGCTGGCCCGGGGTAACAGAGCTCTCGCATCATGGGGTGGCTGTGAGGATCCAGAGACACAAGGGAGGGAAGGCTGGGCCTCCCGCTCCGGAAACCGGCCTGACCACGACCCTCTTCCTCGGCATTCCCATAGCCCAGGGACACCACCCCGACCCCAATGCCTTCCAGAGCTCTCTGTGGCCTAACGGCTGTGGGTGTATAGCCTGGGGTGAAAAGCGGGAGTCTGGGACACACAGGCCTGGGTCTAAGTCCTGGCTCTGCTGCCTCTGCTGGGGGACCCGGGGAAAGTCTCACACCCCCCGATCCTCAGTGCACTCGCTGGTAACACCTGCCAAGCACACGGCGTTGCTGTGGGGATCCGGTCGGCACCTGACGGTGTGCGGACGTCTGGGAAACCGGGCCCCTTTATGACGGTCTCTCCGAGGCTGGCCGAGCCCCTGAGCTGCACACACACCTCCCCTTACCACCTACGCAGGCTCTACGGGCCATCACCCTGCGGTGCTGAGGCCGCTCCCCTGGGTCTCTGTGGCCTCCGCTCAGGGACCCCCAGGGCCAGGCTGCCTCCCCTTGCCTTCCAGTTCTGGCCCTGCCTTTGGGCTCAAGTCTTACTTCCCTGGAGAAAACTGAGCCCCTGACTTGAGGCCCCACCACCCCCACAGGGAGGGAAAGTGGCAGCTCACAGGAGCATGGCCCTACGCATACCAGATGCCATTAATGAAAACTGCAGGCAACCCCCATGCCCCCACCACCGAGGAAGGCACTATTATTACTGTCCCCACCTTACAGATGGGAAAACTGAGGCACAGAGAGGTAAAGAAATTATAAAACACCAGCCTGAAATCAGTTCTGTCCTGGCCCTGCCTTGAAACCAATCACTCTCTTATCACCTTACCCTCTTCATTCCCTTTCACAACAGCCGGAGTCTCTGGGTGGTGCAAATGGTTAAGGTGCTAGGCTGCTAACCGAAAAGTTGGAAGTTTGAGTCCACCCAGAGGCACCTCAGAAGAAAGACCTGGCAATCTACTTCTAAAAAAGCGGCCACTGAAAATACCATGAGCACAGTTCTCTGTTCTTGGAGTCAACTTGATGGCAACTGTTTTTTTTTCCATAAAAGCTCTTGCACCTGAAATGGTCTTCCTTGTGCATTTGTTTGTGTCTAGACCATAAAACCACACAAGAGCAAGGCCTGGATCACCCTTTTGGGCTCATTTAGTACTCATCACAGCCATATGAGTTTTAGTATTACTAGTAACCCATTTCACATACGAGGCAAATTAAGGCACATTAAAGACTTAAACTACTTGTCCAAAGTCACCCAGCTTGTGGATGGAGGAGGAAGGATTCAGAACACAGCCACCAGGCTGCAGCCCACAGCTGTTTCCATGGCACCTGACTGCTCTGTCTGCATCACAGAGACAGCAAGAAAGAAGTATGGCCCCTATGACATGGTCACATTTGGTGAGAAACCATGCTTCTGCAGGCAGAAAACATTCCTGGATGAAGTCATGAATAATGATTACCTCTGGGAAAAAGGATTCTTGGGAGGAAGTGAGAAAATGGGACTTTCGTTTTTCATCTGATACCCTTCTGAACTGTCTGGATTTATTTTTACCATAATCATATACTGTAACAATAACAATAAAAAATAATTAAAAAAAAAAAAAAAGCTGACAACTGGACTTAATCATTTTGTAACTCAAGAAATGGATAGTCTTTGAGTCTCTCTCTCCCCGCCCCCGTCGGCTGCCAGCCTGAGGATTTTAACAAAGGAAGAGAAGGTGGCAAGTGTCTTCTTGTGAGGTCGTATTCTTCCCCAAATTAGAATTCCAAGTCTAGGGTAATTCTGGCTCTGCTGATATCAGGGCAGCGAGATCTCTGGGCAACTTAAAAGCTTTGGATCCAAAAGACAGGAATAGAAACACAGACTAAGAGGCAGCCGGGCACACACACCAAATAGTAAAGGTTCCTTCCACAGGAGCTGAAAGGGACAGAAAGAACCCAATAATGTTTGTCCAGAGATTCCGGAAGGGGACTCACAACACCCCCAACCTTCCCCTTTTGACTGGGTATTTCCCAGGATGCCCTGTGTAGGGATGCCGTGCGGGAGGGGCCCCTGTGCCATCCCCACTGGCGAGGGAACAGGCCAGGCCTTCAGAGTTCCGCCTTCAGCTTGTCTCCCGGCGAGAAAGGTGCACTGTTCCCAAGGCTCATCTCCTGGAGGGCTGTAAGAGGATCTGCTAAAAACTTTAAAATGTGCGTTCTCGCCGCCCTAGCAGTTCTACTTCTAGAAGTGTGTCCTTCGGAAAAGGCCTGAGTGTACAGGGCCGCCTCCCAGGGCACCGTCTGTGGAGCCAAGCAGGAGCCGCCCGCCAGCAGCTGCCAGCAGGGAGGACCGGGGCACACAGTGGTACAACAGGGTGATAGCGGGCAGCCGCTAACAAAGAGTTGGGGTCAGTCCCCAGGACGCAGAAAGAGGTTCTCCCAGCTACATCACGCGAACAAAGAAATGGTATGTGTAGTGTGAAACCATTTTTATAAGACCATTTTATAAAACACAACTTAGCTTGGTATGTGGGAGTTTACCAAACTCGTCTCCAAGGGTGGAATATATAGGGGTTCAAGTTCTAAAAATGTTCCTTGCCAAATCCCATGAGGCACTACACAACACAGTCTTCCCTGTTTCTTCTCTGCCCCCATCTCCTCACTGTTCCTCTGCTCCAGCTACAGGCGCCTCTCTGATGTTCATTAAACACGCTGGGTATAGCCTGCCTCAGGGCCTTTGCACTGGCTGTTCCCTTTGCCTATAGTGCCCTCTCCAGCTGAGCTGGAAGGATGAGAAACTGCCAGCCACGGCCTGGTGGCACACTGGTTAAGTGCTCGGCTGCTAACCGAAGGGTCAGCAGTTCAAATCCACCAGCCGCTCACGGGAGAAAGACGTGGCAGTCTGCTTCTGTAACATTTACAGCCTTGAAAACCTTCTAGGGCAGTTCTACTCTCTCCTATAAGGTCACTAAAGTTGGAATTGACTCAACGGCAATGGACTTTTTATATACGTATATATTCAACTGATTTTCGACAAGAGTGCTAAGTCAATTCAATGGGGAAAGAACAGTCTCTTCAACAAGAGGTACTGAGAAAACTGGATTTCCTCATGCAGAAAAATGAAGCAGAAAACATACCTCACACCATACATGACAACTAATTCAAAATGGATCAAGGACCTAAATGTTAAATCTAAACCCATAAAAGTCTTGAAAGAAAATGTAGGGGCAAGACTATGGGACCCACTTTTTTTAATGACAGATCATCGAACACAACAGCTGCTCAAGCAGCAGAGACAAAACAGTAACCGAGACCTGGGAATTCAACACGCGTGCGCGCCCGAGGGCTTGTCAGGGGACTGAGACCTCCTGGAAATTCAACACGCGTGTTCACCCGAGGGCTTATCAGGGGACTGAGACCTCCTGGAAATTCAACACGCGTGTTCACCCAAGGGCTTATCAGGAGACTGAGACCTCCTGGAAATTCAACACGCGTGTTCACCCAAGGGCTT